ACATTTTCTTTACAAGATTTCCATTTCTTTTTTAATAATGCATGTTGTTGCCTTAGTAACAAGTGATCTTTAAAATGATTTTTCCTTTTAATTAATTTGTTAGTTTTTTTAATAAATTTATTAAGCCGGACATATTTTTTAAATCTTTTGCAACTTATAAATAGGGAACCAATTGGGTTTGACTTACTGCACCCCATATCAATATTGTTACATTGTTCATTTACTATACCTGGATCATAGCTGTTTAACTCACTGAACAAGCTCTGAGAGGCATCAGCTTCTATGGCAACCTTATTTTCAAGTATTTGCATAGTTTTATGTGCCTCTGACAAACTTAATTCCAAGTCACTGATGCGATTCAAAGCCTGCTCATGAGTATCATAGCACTGTTTATAAGAGTCAACAATATCCTGTAATTGCACACACTGATCCACAATATCTGAATATTTAATATGTATTTCAGAAAGTTCACATTTAAGTTCAGTGTTTTTCTTAACAATATTCTGAATTTCCAGTTCACTGTCCTCACGTTCTTGCAGTAATCTATTATTGAGATCCTGCAATTTCTTCTGCTCCAGCAAAGCCTGCTTCAGTCTGATTTCAATCTTTAGTTGTAGCTTTACGAGTCATCATTTTGTGGTGTTATTGTTATTTAAAATATCCCGTGTTTTAAAGTTTTTATGCACTAATTCTATTTTTAATTTAAATAACTGTTCCGCGGTACCCGCAAAAAAAAAAAAAAAAATATATTGCAAATGATTTAAAACATATGATATTTGTTCATTTTCATGTTTGTTATACTATTCTTGTACTTACTTAAGGGATTTAAAATGTATATTAATAAGGTACTAAATGAGAAGTGTTGACTTAGTGGCTTCAGCGCGCGACCTTCATACCAGAGGTCGTAGGTTCGATCCCCGGCTGTGCACCAATGGACTTTCTTTCTATGTGCGCATTTAACATTTGCTCGAACGGTGAAGGAAAACATCGTGAGGAAACCGACATGTCTTAGAACCAAAAAGTCGACAGCGTGTGTCAGGTACCTACTGGAGGCTGATCACCTACTTGCCTATTAGATTTAAAAGTGATCATGAAACAGATTCAGAAATCTGAGGCTAAGACCTAAAGAGGTTGTAGCGCCACTGATTTATTTATTTTTTAACTGAATAAGAGAGATATATTGATGATATTGTGCTTTTACAGTACCAGTATTAAGTTGCATTGTAAAACTTGACTATAACATATTTTGCTTTATTTTAAAAAGTGGATAATAATATTAGTAAACACTTATAACAATACTGTGTTAGAATAGTCTAGAATCTAGATCTAAAATATGAGGAATGACTATGGATACAGTAAACTCTCGGTAGTGTGAAATATGATTGATGGGCTTTGGAGTGTGGATGTGAGGGCCGCGAGATGATTAGCTAGTTCCTTGTTGCGGGAATTCGAGCAAGAAACACGATAATTGTTCGGGGGTGAGTTTGCAGGGCTGTCAATGAGAAAAAATCGCATATTTTATAGGTAATGTTTAATGAATTCAAAACCTTCTTCTTCTTCTTTCTTTACCGACAAGGTTTCCTCGCCACCAGTGCCAAGAACCTAGTAGACGTAAACTAGGAAATATTTGACTAAAAAGATAAAACAAAAGTTTCTTTGTGGAATTTCGCTTTGGAGTTTAAATATGATATATATCATAGTAAAGTATTATGTGATGAAATTAATATTACAAGTTGGCAATGCTATTTACTGTTTTGACATTTTCTATCGTAAAACTGAAGATCACCAAAAAAAACAATCTGACTTTTTACACTTTATTTTAGCAGAATCAATTACAAAAAATATAAAAAACAACCCTAAGTGTGATGCAGTTCAAAGAGTAGTGCAATTACCTCAGCGACTCCAACCGGACTTACGGTATTCTTATGTCTCATTCCCGCGCGTCTTTACTGGCTTTTAAACCGTTTGACTCGGATGAATATTAAATTTCATTAATATTATTTACGCAGTTATTTTATATCCGGAAATTATACATAGTTATATTCTCAAAGGAATACCACATTACCAGGTCTCTTATCAAAAAGAACGATTCAAATAAATAACTCTTCTAAGTCAATTGATGATCGATACAGACCTTGGTCAAGTTATAAGAAAACCGAAATAGTTAAAATAATAATAAAAGAACAACAACAACAAAATCCTGCCAAACCAGCTTTGCAAAGGTGCGTGTAATGTCTCAAGGAAATATTGATTTTATTGGTTGTTTAAAATAAAGTTCGCGGTCTTTTGCCTTTGAATAACTAAGTAAGAATGAACGAGATTTGAGGACACTTAATGATATATTTGATGCGTGCTCGGAGCGGAGACGTTAAATGAGTCGGAATGAAACTCCTCTTCACTCAAAGAGACTCACTCCGCGCTCATTTCCGCAGATTAGCTGAGGGAAGTGGGGGGAGGCCTAGGGGGGAGGGAAGAGAGAACACAACAGATCGCTAATGGGCCGGCTATTATTTTATTTTCCGGCTTTGAGAAAATTGCCTTAATTCGCGGCAAAGAGACAGCGGGCGGAACCTCTTTGTCGCTTATTGTCATCCCGTCTACACAGGCTACTAGCGAGGTACACGCATTTGTGGGTCAAAAAGGGACTGCTTATATTAATAATTTCAGCTTAACATGTATATTATTAATTTAATGATTTAAAATTATTCGTAAGCGTTCGAAGATAAGAAATCAAGTTAATTTTATCAAAATACATATAAAATTAATTAAAAAAAAACTTGGAATATAGCAGTATTTAAACAAAGAGCCCATCCACTATCAGTGTTAACAACCACTTGTTTTTCACAAATGAATGAATAAAAAAATTGTAAAGTGACTGACGTGTGAAGGTAAAATATATGTATACTTTTCCAAATATTTCCTTATTTAAATAAAATTTAGTTTATTAAACAGAGACACGTTATAATTCTGTCTCATAACTAGAAATTATTGTTTGTCGTACTTTGCCAACGGCTTCATATGGTTCCGTTATAAGTAACGTATTAAAATTAAGACGCACTTAAGAGCATTACGCAGATTCCAAATCTCGGAAGTAAAGAGATTACGAGTGTGTAGTGAATGTGTCTTAGTGATTATAACTAATCAGCTCTTTATAATCCGACCTAAACTGATTCGTGGATCCGTTATCTATTTTAAATCTCAATTGCAATTACTTTTCGATGACTAACATCAGAGATTATCTTAAACAATACTTGATGCACGAGTAAAATACTTTCACGGCAGTATTTTTGAATTTTTATTAAAGTAAATGACTTTCTGTGCTTGGTATTAAACATAACATGTATACATTTGGGTGTAAAACATTAACATACCTGTTTTATGAAGATTTTCTTTTGTTTTCCTTTGCCGTATGAGTGAGACAAATGCACTGTTGCAATGACAGGGCTCAAACGCCCTAGACCTTAAGAGATAGAGCTCGGCAAATAATATTATTAATAAACAATTATCGTAATAATTAAATTGCCTAGGATAGGTGTCTAATTTGGATTGGATCTTATAGGGTCTTTAAAATAAAACTAAAATAGTATTACCGCAGTAAAATGTCTTTATTTATTATTAATAATATAATTTTATTTTAAATCGCGTTTCAATCTAATAAAGTTTTTTTAATGGTAGTAGATACAAAAATTCTACTTATATACGGTCTATAGACAATCTAGTAGTTGATATATATATATATATATACAATATATTTACGAAAAAGAGGAAGACAACGCAAGAGATAGGCAAATGATATAAAGAGAATAGGAGGCACGGCACAACTTGGAGAAAAAGAGCTAACAATAAAAAAAAAATGGAAGTAGCTGGAAGATGCATACATGTCACAGGGCACGCTGATCATCAAAACCGGCACATCTGATGTACCTATTAGACTAAGTAAAAGACTAACCTATTATGTAACTAAAACAAATGTTTATATATATTATACTGGGTGCCAATAAAGGCTTAATAAATAAATATATTTAGCATTATAAGGTTGGTGAAAATATAGTATAAAAACGGGAACCACTAAATATAATTGTTTTTCTATACGTAATTTTAATTTTGGTCAAAAAATACAAGCAAAGTCAATGGTTCTGAAATAGAACAATATATGTAGTTGGAAAGAAAGTAGAAGGATTCCAGCGAAAGGAGTAAAAAAATATGCTTATTGATGATTATAATAAGAATAAAATATCACAGCCAGTTAATATCCTTTCCTTTTGGGAAATTCAAAATAAAAATCATAATTAACTCTTATAAAACTACATTTCGAATAGGACAGTGTTTTTCCGAGGTGTTATAAGAGAAGGTGCACTGGCAATATTTATTTATCCAAAAGTGTAATAGTTGATTTAAAACAAATATACATATTAAATACGCATCAGAAAAGTCCATCATTGTTTAGCAATCGTATCTAGGTAAATATTTCGTAAATCTGAATTCCTATTTCCAGACAATTTATATACATTTTAATTAAAATTTCAATTAATATTATTTAAGGTAACCGGTAACTAATTAAAACCATATTTTAGTTCTGCATTAACAATCAACTGCTGAGTTAAGTGAGACTGCATCTTACTAACAACCACTGCAACCTTCGCGTTAATCGACACCCACAGAGCTTGGCCAATCAAAACGACGAAAGGCGGGGCCTGCGACAGGGATATATATACACTAGTCATAGTAGGTGCGAAAGGGATGCAAAATGATCCCATAAGGCGGGACCCTTAGCGCATTTACGGACCTCTGTCAAAGTTTGATAATAGTTTGACGGGAACACACGTCATGATATATCAGCAACAGCGGCTTACGATACTCGTTGCTGTTATAACTTTAACATCAGGAAGATATACGAGAAACAATTAAATAACATTAGACTACTTTGTGTTAACATGTACAAAATATAAATTAAGTGTAGTGAAGTGACTGAGACTGAAAAGTGAAGTGTAGTGTCCGGGATGTCGAGCGCGCGACGCGGTGTGGCCTACACCATTGACAGTATCCTCGGCCATCGAGTCCCTAACAACGGTAATGGTAAATACTTATAAAGAACTAGAACATTCTTGTTTAAAACTTATATGTCCTATCTTCTCTTTACATTAATTTTTATCGGATAAATATTTCTTTAATTAGGAACAATCAGGAAATAAATTAATCCCCACTGATATAGGCATTTCGAATACGCGTAATGTCTGAACAATACTTAAGAGTTTTGAAACGAAAAAAAAGCTATTAAAATGATACAATTAATTTGTATGAGGGTTATTTTAATTGTAAATTTAATTAATAATTTTATCGTTTATTTAGTATTTACGTTACTTAATTTTCCTAAATATATCCTTCTCATATGTTTATTACATGTAGTAATATATTTTGTTGCTATTACTTAAAATGAATCGAAGTTGTTGTAAAACGTAAGATGTTTTTCAATAAACTTTAACTAAAAAAATTATAAATTTTCCACAATATTACATGAAAGCTTTTAAACAGATTTGACACTTCTTAAATTCTACATTCAAAACCTCTACTTTCAGCAATTAAATTAAAAAAAAAAACCTTTTACCAATTACCACAAATAAACAATATTTGTCTAAAACAACTATTATATATATGGTTTTATTCTATTCGATTAATAATGAGTTGAATAACTTTTGCAACATAGTGAAAAGATATTTAAAATAGTTTTTGCATTTTCGGTATAGGATTATCATTAAAAGGTTGCCTGGACGCGGATTTAGGTATAGTAAGATGGTCGCGCGTTGCGTTTTGTGCCTCATTGCAACGAAAATTATAAATAAATACCTTAAAGTCGAGCAAAAAGTAAATTTTATTATACCTATATGTAAAGTATAAATATATATGTTTTCTATTATGCTCGTTAACCTAATAATGCTTAGTATCGGTCTTTCTTTCCTTCTTACTTCTTTCACCGACATTCTGGCTTGCTATATTGACAGCACGAAGTACATCGTTTGTAGAAACTTATTGCTAGAATAGTAAAACAATATTTCAATAATAGGTGCCCATTCCTATTAAGGAATAACTTTCCCATAGCATTTGGTCACGCTTTTATGATTTTGATTTGATACATAATTATAAAATATAAAGTTTTTTCTCCAACCTCATGTGGTTACAATGCTTCGAATCATAACTATGGCTTAATAACTTGCAATTTTTGATATTTCTTTTTAAGCCCACTCGACCCCCCGCGGGTTCATTATATGGGATTTCTAAACATCTATACAGAACAATAATCTTTAGTACTGCAAGATAAGACTCAAAATCGATTGACTTGCAGACAAAAGATTATTGAAATATGTAATAGTGCACGGTAGGACGGCTGCCGATGGGCCCAATAATGGCCAGTATTAGTAATATTGTGTTGACACATTGTGTTAACTAAATATTGTGCTCGCTTCACGCTCCCGTGCATCACTGAAGGTTTATGATGTTATTATGAGCTACTTGAAATGTTATTATTTCGTAGCGTCTGGGTTTTAACCTAGCGTAGCACCGCATTGTAGTACAACGTAGTACTGCTACGAACCATAAAAATAATCCGAATTCTATTCTCTCTAGTTGCCATACGACTTCTAGAGAGAATAGAATTCGGATTCTTGGCGACTAAATTATGAGTTTTTTATTTTTAAAAGCACTTGAATGCGGAATCTTCCTCCATCTAATCTGGCTTAGTAACCTGTCTGTGATTTTAAAATCATATAATAAATTAGATTTTGGCAATGATGAAAGTTGCTCTTAGAAGTATAAAACTCTTGCCAACTTACATGCTGTTGAATATTGAATAATTAACAAAAAATAATACAAGTAGGTACCTACATTGTAAATCGAATAAAAACTTTACTCATTTCCTGTATATGAAAGCAAGATAAATTCATACTGGCTTTTATGTTATCCCTGGTCCGATATAAATCAATTGCAGCAATTAATGAGTGGAGAGCCAGTCCCGTCAACCGCGTGACATCGATCTTTTAATCCCTGCACTCGCTGCATACATAGCCACCCTTTTATTCCCATACCAAATGAATATGACCTCTCCGACGATTGTCATACATAGCAATATCGCTTGAAAGGAATAGGCAATATCAACTCGTACTAGCATCAAATACAAACAAAATACTCTTTTTATAAAGCACTTAGCGTCACTCGACATTAGTCGCGCTATTTATTTATAATAGTGTTTTTGTAGTTTTGTAATTGTTGCAAGGAATTAGTATTATACAAAGAGATTACAACTGATTACAACGGACGAGAGGGGAATATGCTAACATTATTATGTTACAATTAAACTTTTGATCGTGTGACCTTCTTGCTTGATACAGTTTGAATGACATTATAATGCAAATGTTGAGTAAATATTATCAAAGATTATTTTGTCGTTTAGTGAATTTTTTATAGCGTTTAAAATGTTATATAATTAGACTTATACAATTGTAAACGGGTAGTTCTCTATTAAAAGGCACTGAAGAAATTTAATTGTAGCGATTGATCGTAAACGTTTTTAAACAATTTATATTAATTGCTATTTTATTTCTTCTTCTATTAAGAATAATGTGAATAAAATTCATTTATAAATGAGTTCTTTATCACAGTTTTATGATCAAAACTATAATTATCATAAAGAGGAAAGGTATGCATTTTGTAACGAAAGCTCCTAAAACCTGGGCCGACTTCGAACAGTCTCTCACCATTAAAATACATTTCTGCATTATGCCTTAGTAAGAAGTCTATATTTAATTCCACAGAATTTTAAAAATAGTTCAGCCGTACGAAGTCAGGACAAACTGTTATTCTTTTTTTAAAATTTCTATATTCACCAAGTTAAACTTTAATATTTTATTGAAATCAAAAATACAAGCTCTAACAGGATTATCATTTATAATAATAGGATTAATTACAAGGTTTTGCTTGTAAGATAAGAAACAAATTCCTATAAAAAAGATACATTCGTAATGGGACATATCGCAGCGTCTAGTTACTCAGTATTTTTTAATTTTAAATTAATTTAATTAATAAATTAAGTATATAGGTTACCCTTTTCCTTCATACTCGGGAATTGAACTAGACATTACACAAATCGCATTAAAAACACAAATGTGCTTAGTTAAGCACCGTGGGCTTATTAGTTTATAGGCCCACGGAAGCTGTTAACTCGGTATAAGACTGTTAAGAAGTTATAAATGCTTCTAGTACAAATGATTACGATTAGATTTAATCTCGTAGAATCGATGTAAAAAGGCAGCATTTCAAGTGAATGCAATGAAATACATCTAAGAAGATTTGCCGGTCTTAACATAGTATTGTAAACTTTATAACTAATGGTATAGATGCGAGAGTACTTCGGAGAACACTAACGAGGGACACGACGAGTGCCACTTTGACGGGATCACATTCGCATATCAATACATAATAATCTTTATGCAAAACGTATTTCTACTTTATTTCATGCAATTATTAATATCATATTTTCGATTGACTATAAGCCATGACTAACAGCATGTTAGTTGCTATATACAAGCTTGTTTTTCGTTAACATTGACTTTAAACCCGTTTACAAGCTGAGTTAAACTAAATCCTTTTTCATTTTACTTTCGTATATTAGCGTAGGTTAATACCCAATACCCAAGTATAGATTATAGAACACTAAGACTTAATTTACATCATCTTAGTTAAAGAATGTTCTAGTATGGGAAAAAAATAAATCAGCATAATGTTACTTTATCAGCCATAATTATAGTATAGACTATATTATAATTTTAAAAAAAAATAACCCAATTAAGAAGACCTTTCCAGTAAGACCTGTTCAATCTCAGGTTATTCTTATTGTCAATTATTATTTGTAAAATAATTTTGACGGGTAATTAAGTAATATCAAATTTTCAGCTCAGTAAGAGTTTTTTGTGTAAATATAGATGGCGTGGATATGAAAAGCGAGAGCGTGCACTCAGACTCCGAGCATGAACACGAGCATGATCATGACCACGAGCAGGGTCAGGAGCGCGAACCGGATATTGACCCGAGTGCCGAACACACTGACCATTTAGACATGGATGCCAATAGACCACGCAAGGTAAATTGCTTCATAGAATATTCGTTGTTCCATAAACTATGCGAAGAGTGGATAGTTAGACAAATTATTTCTAAGTTTTTAGACTCATTATAATTGTCGTCATAAAGAAGCCTTTTCTACGGTTGTTAAAACTAATATGAAAATTGACTTTTTGTGTGTCTGTTTGTCTAACTACATGTTAAACGTAGGTACCTTAACGTCTTTCGAATTTGAAGTGAAAAAGTATCAGATTTTAACAGTAGGAACGTTGAAGCAGGTACGTCGCAGCCGGACCACGTTCACGACCTACCAGCTGCATGAACTGGAACGCGCCTTTGACAAGACACAGTACCCAGACGTCTTCACGCGTGAGGAACTTGCACTACGGCTGGATCTCAGCGAGGCGCGTGTACAGGTCAGTTAATAGATATACTAATTTAGCGAAGACATATTTTCAGGCTTCACCTTTGATACTAATTCTGTAACGGCGGTTACATCCGTTAAATAAGTTTTATATAAACTTGTTTAATCGGTACTCGCGTAAACGAAAGACAGAATTTCGTAACAAAATATCAATCGGCATTCAAATCTTTGCATTTTGTATTCCGTGGCTTGCTTATTGGTCATTTATAAATAATAATTAAATTTACCACTGTAATAATGTTTAATACAATATTAATGAGGCCCAATTTGGCAACAAAGCGTTATAATTGCGCGGTTTGATATACATTAGTGGCAATTAGAGACGTTTACCGGAGACTCAACACTAATTGCATAATGTAGGCTGCTCGCGACGAATAAAAGGCTTAAATGGTTGTTACAATTGCCTCCAGGATATAAATTACATTAATTACTATTTACTAGGGTCCATTAGTAGCTGCAATAGTATGTAATACAGCCCTGAATAACCTCAAGACGACAAACGTATGTTGACTTTAGTTTTGAGCGATGTCAATTGTCAACATTTTAATTTATTAATACAGAGTCACTATCATTTACGAAGGTATCGCAGATTTCAAAAGTGGTCCGTCAATGTTCAGTTCTGTTTTTTTGTCTTTAAAGTATTTAATACTGATATTTTATGCAGTATGTCAGAGATACGCTCCCGCATAGAGATAACGCGGCCTGCTTTCTATTGGGAACCAGGATTCTTTAATGTCATAGTTGGCCACAAGTTCTGTATGAGTTTGAATTTTGGACCATAAAAAACACACCGCTTTTGAGATAAAACATTAGAAAGTAAACAGCAGTACAGACTTGCAAACCACATTTGGGAAGATTGAGAGTAGAAGGGGGTCAAATCAGTGCAGTGGAATAATTGTATAGCAATGAACACCGAGAGTTTTTTGAATAAATGAGAGACGTTACATGAAAGATATGTTCTATTACGTCGGTACTAGGCATAGGTTAACTAATAAAAATGTTGGAACAGTAATCTTTGCTTTGTTCTATGTTAACTATTAGGTGCTCAATAATCATGCTTTACTTTTCTTTACACGAAAGTTATTGTATAACGGTCCTCTAATAAATCATACATTTTGGCGCTGATGCATACCTTTTATAAATTAGCTATGATTGGACAGAGGTGGTCGTACATTAAGTTGAGATAATTGTTACTCTGGTAGTGTGAAAATGTCTGATTTGAATGTCATCAGGAATTAGGCGAGTTGCGGGCGCAATTAAAATTAGTTGCATTGTAGCCGCACCCGGCGGGCGGCACTCGCGACAATGTGCTCTAGATTGCGGCTTTGTGGCCCCCACCATTCGCCACAAACCTATAATGCTCACCAAATTTCCTACTTATTTCCTATTACTTATATTACACCTAAGTTATCTATTTTGTCACCTAGTCTACTTTAATGTCTTTCAAACTAACAATGATTAATCGTCCTGTTTCGTCTTGTTCGTTCTTAATTCTTAAGTTTATTTATTTATTTTCCTTATTTCCTATTTTTACAGTAACAATAGAAAATTAAACTAAAAATATAATATAAACATAACAAGTAAAAACTTAAAACCTAAACCATTTTATAACTAATTATAAATAATGCAATTCTTGTGAATTCAGCGAGTGTGCAACTAAATATATCGGTCTCACAAGCAATATTGTTTAGGGTGCGCAAAACACGCGTAAATGGTGCTTTTAAAGTTCTTAATTCGTCGAACAACATACTTAAATATAATAGTAGGATCTATCCTTGCTTGCACTTCAAATTCTGCTCAAGACTACACTACAACAACAATCGATTTCAACACGATGGCGGTTTAATTCGTAAATAGTGAATCAACTGGTTACATATACATCCTCAAATTTGCCCCTTTCACAAAGAAATATGAAGGTCCAGAAACTGCAGCCAGTAGCAGCGCGTCGGTGTGACTAACAATGGCCGCTAATTCCGTTCATTATCCTCTTGCCTCGACAGCGAGCTAATGTTTAGCCGCCTAACTCCCCTGCCCCCGCGCTGTCGCACACAATCTTATAATTATGCACAATTTCATAAATGACTTAATAATAAGAGGTAGTTTATTTTAAACGCGTAACTAGTTAAATAGAAATAAGCGATTAAATACTTCCATGTTGCGAATTACGTCATTATGAGCCACCGTTGGCGACTTCTCAGTCGAGGAATGTAACTAGCAGCTTAAGCTTTTCATTTTTTAAATACCAACCCATTTACGTCGCTTAAATTGTGGGTATACCTAAAATTTCAACAATCCAAATAAGTTAATTTTACATTTTAGAACTGTAGATCTAAGAAACATAATATGAAGAAGACAATATTTGTCTAAATTGTGTTTTTTTTTCATACTAATTATGAACAGAAACCATCGCTGTTACTCTGGCTCGTTAATTACTGATGTTAAGGTGTTGTGTAAGTGAGAGTTGTGTGGCGTCTCGTTGTATCGTTATGTGTATTCATGGAGATGTAATCAGTCTCCTGTTTCCGCTAATCCTACACACTCTGGCTGCTCACTGTCTCTGATGAATCCCATTCATATTTCAACGACTCTTTACACGTTTTGATCTTTTGTTTGAATTTTTTATCTTCATTGTTCATGTTAAGTTGGGGTAAGTAATTACAAATTCCTATTTTGTTAATACGCAAAAACTGGTATAATGCTCTTTTCATAAGTAAATACAACACAATAGGACTTTTAAGTATATTTATTTTTTCTTGACATAAGTTTTTAAATAAATCTAAAACTTCGTAGACTGATTCTATAAAGAAACAGATTTCCCCAATATGTTATTTTTATTATACGTTTTTACTTCTTATGCGTGTAATACTTCTTGGTATTAGAGTATTTGGATGTCTGTTTAAAATGCGACATGTTCGTAGCCGTCAATGAGCAACAATAGTTTAATTAAGCTTGGTCTGAGCGTGGAGTACTCGCCGCGCCGGTGCAATTTGGTAATTACCTGCCACCATCTCCCGCTGGGGTGGGAAGAGGGTAATCTCTGCCAGCACTATACAAAAATGCCTCAATCATTAAGATGTGGTTATGAGAACTTATAAGTGTGTAATTAAAACATTTTTATATTGAAATTAAGAGTACAATATCTCATTTTATTATGATTGGATTACTTGATATGTTATTTAAAAACACGCTAAATTCAAGAGAGAAAATGCTAGTCGTGTGGTTGAAAGTCTGTGAGTGGGAGGACTGACAATAAGCGGAGTGCTAGTGTAGAGCCACTAACGAGGAATTCATGACTCATGAAACTTGGCAAGAACGTAATTACAGTTTCGGTAATCTGCGTTCATTTCACATTTTACATTTATGAGGTTTTAAATATTGTATTCGCGGAATCCTCCCGCCGGGGTCGGGCCCTCTAAATCACACTCGAAGCTGCAAATTGCTTTTAATCCACTCCATAGATGGCGCTCACCGACAAACGAGCTACGAGCCCCTTGTAGACAAACCGATTTATACGATATTCGACTTTAAATTCTGAAGATAAGATTGATAGTGGTTCGTAATGTAGACTTAAAGTGGGAATTAGTATGCAATTGAGATGTATTAAAGAGTTTGAAGTGATTGGCGACACTCCGCGGCCCTCAGCCACTTGGCTCTGTGGTGGTGTAGTGGTTCCTACAGAGCTCATACTTCGCCCACACATTTACTTCAATTATTTAATTGATCACGATACAACAGGCAAAGCGAGAGCCGCTTATTGTTTTATTTCTTCATTTATAGTTTCATTCGTTTAATTCCATTAGACTCTTAACACACATCACACATAATACGTTTTACAAATCTGTGTAAAATTGTTTATTTTAAAATATTTTATTTAATAGTTAAAAAGCTTCATGGCAATTTGTCTTGTCAAATAATTGCATAATTAAATTAACAAATGATGGTCTCAATAATGATCAAATCACATCTCCAGTAGAGTGTGAAAGATGACAATAGTCGATGCGGTGCGGCGGCCTCGCTGCCAAATTATCAAATTATACCATTTTTGCCTTCGCCAGTTACAATGTCTTTTTATTAGCGATACGAGTCGACTAGCTCAATTTGTTTCTATCCTGAGTGATCCTACGGTGCAAGAGCGACCTTATCTCTGTGTCATAAAGTTTAAAATGCATTCTATGCAATGAGCACAGTACGCCACGTATGCGTAATTGCTTTTCATTACGGTCCCATTGTAGTGGAGAGCGACAAATTGGCGACAATTATGCGATAAAAAAATTAAAAGTGGACCCGAGTTGAGGTATTAGCGCCCTTGCTGTATTCAGGATTGCGTGGTGTCGACTGTGACATTGTATTCATATTTACCTACCACCTGAATTATTCAATATGTTACTCATGTTTTAGTGGCAAAAATTGTAAAAGTTCTGATTGTTTTGAAATAATAAATTCAAGCTATTCCCGATTCAAAAAAGTACCTTATAGTCCATTTTGTAATTTCGTAGATTCAGTCTGATACAATAAGTAATATTCGTATGCAAGGATGAATTTTAAATAATTGTTTTTTTCAGGTGTGGTTCCAAAACCGTCGCGCGAAGTGGCGCAAGCGAGAAAAGGCGTTAGGGCGCGAACATGCTCCTTTCCTGCATCATGATCATGGTAAGCACTGAAAATCAGCCCTTTATATTATAATAAAATACCTTCAAATATATGCGATACTGCTTTATCTTAAGTGTTTACAAAGGAGTGTTGGCCTAGTGGCTTTAGTTTGCGACTCTCATCCCTGAAGTCTTAGGTTTGATTCCCGGCCGTGCACCAATAAACTTTCGGTCTATGTACGTATCTAACGAACACTCGCTCGTACGATGAAGGAAAACATCGTGAGGAAACCGGCATGCCTCAAATTCAAAAACGAAAGACACGAAGAAGAAAGAAACGGATGCAATCTGAGGCCAAAACCTATAAAGGTTTCTAGCGCCACTGGATTATTATTTACAATTTGGTTTTCATCAACAACGAAACTACTTAATGTAAGCAAATATCACTTGATATGACTTATATGAGTGTTAAAAGTCGAAATGTTTTAATAGTACACCAAAACGTAAATAAATAATTCTCATATTGTAAGCTAAAAATCATTCGTAAATAGTCTAAATAGTCATTTAAGGACATTACCTGTATTAGTAATTATCGTCATTATTTGTCTATTTTCTTTATATATCTGTTCCCAATCAGTATCGTTAACAAGCAGCAACAACGCACAGGTGGACTGAACTATTATTATAAAACCATTAATTGGAATTATTGAGGGAGATGTGTCGATATAGCCGCTATTAACGACAAATAAAGCTTGTAAAGTGTCACCCGGTGACACCTCCCATCTATCACGGGACATCGTACAATTATAGGTTTTAATATTTTACAAATCACATTCGTATTGCGTCACGCTATATATTGCAATCGCCTATGAATTATTAGACATTTTATCAAAATTAGTTTTTCTGTCTTTAGATTATTTTGTTTGGACTATTTATTATTTTAAAAGTACAAAGTCTCAGTGGTTTAACTGAGTAAAATTTAAAAAAAATTGTGATAAATAGGCGGATCAATGTTTTAGTTAAAAATATCTATAATACATTTAGTTTTATTTTTTATTCAAACCTAAACATAACTACTGTACTTACAAATTTCTTAAGCTACATAGTAATAATAAAAAGGAAATCAAAACAAATTTAGTTGAAATAGTTTAATTTGTTTGATTTAACTTTTATGAATAACGGAGCTTCTTCATTCTATATATATGTAAACTAGGTACGTCTAATTAAATAATTATTCTAATTAATTAATTATTGGATTACTATGCGTTATCTATATAAAATATTTCTACATTAACATCGCCTTATACGGGAATTCAAATAAACAAAAATATGATATTGTTTGAATTGTATTGAACAAATCAAAAGTACCCGTAAAGTAAAATTAAGTTTTTATAATATATTATTCAAATTATATTATAAAGTTATAAATTTGTTATAAACAGTATAGAAAGCTCAAATAGGTGATCCATATTAGCATAAATCAATAACTGATATGAGGGACACTTCCAGGCAGGTGTCAAGTTGTTGCCTGAACAATGCTGCATTGTTATTGTTATCAAAACTATGCAACTGCTCTTATAATTGTTAGATTTACTTTTTAAACACTTTTAAACACTATTAAGTTACTTAAGTTATGTTTATTAGCATTGTATTTTTTTTATTCATTCCAATTAATTCATAGTCGTTACTTAGCGCAAAGTCCGACTTTCAAGTATCAAAAATTGGTTGGAATTTTGCATATGGAAGGCGTGTAATGTCTCGACATTGCATGTAGGTCTGTATGTAGGTTTGAGTCCCTGCAATAGAATTTTAACGAATTATATTTTTCTACAGGAGAATGGGGCGGCGCCAGCGCACCAGGTGGTGAGTGGTGGTCGCTAGGACTTAGCGCATTGCCTCCCGCGCCTTTGTGGCCCGAACCAGCATTGGCTGCATTACTCCACAGGTCAGTATTAGATTTACAAATTACCTTTTATAAGTTAGTTACAATGTTTAAAAAAAATCTTTATAATCGTACCATGTTAACAAAACATATTTTTACCCCAAGGTACGTCCTTCGTCTGCCGCCACCCGCCACTCACTCTCCAGTGCCACGTTCTCCGTCTCCTCTCCGCTCTCCGCCCCGCTCGCCGCTCCGCTCAGTGGGTACAGCCAGCACACTATCCGTTCCGCCAGATGCGTTGCGGCTTCTACATGAACGGTATAATCGCGTCCACACATAACACCCGCACTCTGGCGCTTCTGAAACCGCCTCTAGGTAGACAACATGAAGACACGTTAATACATAATCATCATAAAACATTTTAATAAAAATATTGTGTCTTAAGATATTAAATTATATTAACTGGTCACAATAAACAGTTTAATTATGTCTAAAATAGACTTATAATTTTTCATACAATTTGGAATTTTACGGCAAACTAAGTTTTATATCTCATGTTACGTGTGCCTTAATAAATTCTTCAACTTTTCATTTGAGATCTCAATTCGTGATTGTGTATATTGTGATGACCATTACTTATAAATTAAGATTGCTATTAGGTGAGTTACTTAATTATGTTATAAATTAAAAATCTAAGATGTATATACTGAAGTTGTAAATATTGTAAATTTTTATTATAGTATGGTTTTAAGTACGATTCATAAAATTTCAGATATACCACATCAAATTAATGCATAAAAATTTTGGACACTTCATTCAACCTTGATTATGTTACAACATCAAACTTATTTTATACAGTTAAAAAACTAAAATAGACTAAAATTTAAATGGAGGCAAAAAATCGTCCGTATTAAATAGTTTTAAAAGTATTTTATTATTGTAAATATATTTCTGATTGAATTGTTTGTACAAATAATTTCGTACTAAATCTGCTTAGACTAAACTAAACTATTATTTAGCCTTCAAATTCATATTTCAAGGACTGCTGAAGAATTTAAATTCATTTTCGATGTCAGAATTAGATGAATGAGATACCCTAGTCATGAGAGCATGGATTACTAGCTAGCCAACTACTAGCCGCAGACAAGATGTGTAATCGAAAAATCTTACTAAGAAAATATAGTACGGCTGTCATTATATTTTTTTTACTGCCAATTAAGTGTATAGTATCTGAAAGCTATATGTTCTTTAATTCACGTAAATAAAATACATTTCTTTTAATGGAGAATAATTGTAAAATAACTCTTGTGTTTGTAGATGTCTTTAATATTGTCATAATAGTGATAAGATTAATTAATTTATTAAAGTAGAAACGTAGTGGGTTTGCAATAACTGTAGCACTTTGAATATATTAGTTGCAAAATAACAGGCTTTTTATTATTACCTTTTATAATCCCCTTTCACCATAGTGTAATTTTTATAGCTGTGATCATACTCCGTGAGTGACCACAATTGTGTTATTTCTAGATGCGCAATTGAGCAGGTACAGGGAATATCGTGAGGAAATAATTATGGTTTGAGTCCTTACTTTCAGAATAATATGGTTGTGACTTAATTGATCTAGACTGGATTACAGCTCTTCCGTGGTACATGGTGCATGTTTAAAACAAAAGGAATATAAGTGATATATACAAATATTTTTATGTAAAGAAGATATCAGAGTCAAGACCCTGACAGGGTTGTAACTGCGTTATTATTGATTTTTAACTTGCACTGTAAGTAGCTCAATATTACATGAACTATTATTTAAAATTTCCGGCCTTCATAACAAAAAAACATTTTTTAATGCAACTTATTACCTGAGCTGTTGAGTTCGAGAATTGATTTATCGAAATTCATACTAACATTGTCATCCTATCGCTTTATTGTTAATAAATGTTGTGGTGTCCCATGAAGATTTAATTTCGAATATTTAATCATTATAGTTTTGAATTAAAATAAATATATAAATTTCCCACGCAGTTGCATTTAAATTGACTTAAACTTATAAATTCCTGTATTAGGTAATAATCGGTGAAGCAATATTTTTTTTGTTGGAATTTATTAATTGAAATACACAAAAATGTGTCTATTAGCTTAGATAGTCCTAACTAATGTAGGTATATTTTTAGCCTGTTAAGTTCTTCAAATAAATTAACCTACAAACTCCATACAATTCTTTATCGTTAAGAGCATGAAAAAAATTTCATAGCTAATATTGAATGTAGCATAATCTATATATTTTTTGATGGGTTTAAAATACAAATTTAATTACTGGTCGGATCCCACAGCGCTATTGTCTGAGCGGAGAGCTCTCGAACGAGCACAAGATTAAATTTGCGTCTCGATCTCACGGACTCGAGTGTTTGAAGAAAGATTAATTTGAAAAATTGGGCGCCGCGCAGTTGAGCAGTTGAGCTCTCGCGAGCGGATTACTACCGCTTAAGTATGTACTATAGAATTAGTAGAGTTCCTTACAAATTATAATCATAATAGTTTTAAATAATCGTTTTTTATCTTACTATTAAGGCGTAGGTAGGCGTAGTTTAGGCGTTAAGCTTCAATGGAGTAATATTTAATACTAAACACTAACCGATACATCATGTATTGAAAAATACCTTTAAATTCATTAAAAAAAACTTATAGTTTGCATTGTTTAGCTGCCTATAAGATAAGGGTGTAGGGCGGGCGGCAGCTGGGCGGACGGCGCGTGTAATTGGCCGCCTCACCCGGTAAACTGTTTAGCGTGTTACCGCGAGCTATGAACTTCGATAATACCTATTGTGTGCTCAAACTTTTATAATACTCGTATTATGAGTTAGCAAGAAACCACTTACCTATAAATTGAATTGAAACGGGGTAAAAATTCTTTTATTTCGACATAATAAATTTATTGAGATGTATTGTAGATATATATAATCTGCTCTATTGGCTATATTTTCACGCATTTGGAGTATTTAATGCGTGAAACCAGAGGTTACTTGATAAATTTTTGGCAAAAACTTAATGGGCGATTACATAGAAACTCGTTATTTATAAAGTTGAGCTTATTCACGAATCCGCACTCGACAGGAAGTTAAAAGACCAGAATATAGTTTTAATTTATATTATAAAAACTATGGAGGATCTATTATTAGTACGTACTTTTCTAAAAACATATATATTTTTGCTATAGCTACAATTATAAGAGGCTGATAAAATAATTTTAAAATTTACTTTGCGAAGGGCTTGTGCGCTCACAGTTAATGAGTCGATGTGATTGTTTGTGGCTCGTGATTACTCTGGTGTCAGACACAGCCGCTCGGTGGAGACCACTTTGTTATCCTCATATTTAATTCCTCACATTTCTAGTAACAATAAAACGGAAATGAAAGAAAATATTGTCTCTTTTAGAATAAGCTTGACGCGGTATCATATTATGTATAAATTATTGTTAAGTGAACATCTGCGGCTACAATGTCTGCGACTTGACCTTTGGCACTGGGGCCTTTGGGACGGCCATTGATTGGTTAGATTGGTCGAAGACCCTTTCAGAATTCGACCAGAACCACCGTCATTTTTCCACAAGTTTATTAATGATACATAAACTTGTGGAGAAAGGAAAGACGTATCGATATAATGCAATATCTAGAAATAATAAGAAAAAAATAACTTATAATTAATAGGCTATCACAGAAATCTAAATTCCACTAGAACGTTAACGTAATCTTGTGATGATTTATAAAATAAAATATTAAATGAATAAAAGCAACTTTTGCTAATTGAATACAAATCTTGATTTTAGAATCGCATTGTACGCCCCACGGTCTGAGCACAGTCAGCGTCATGCAGTTGACACTTATTGTTTCGTTAAAAGCTCATTAAAACCAGCTCAATGTAATCGCATAATATTTATATTTTAAACTGCTGGTTGAGATTGGGTTCTAAAGCATTGTAATCAAGAAATCGCTTTTAATATATAATTATAATAATCGTTTTTTTTTACTTTTCTTACATATTCATATTATTCATAACCTGCACTGTTCAAATACACACACATAAGGCACTCTTTTCCATACTCACCGTGGTATTCCGAAACAATTCGACGTATGGTCCTTCAAGAAAATAGCGTACAAATTCTTAAAAGGGCGGCAATGTACTCGCGAGCCCTCTGGCAATGTGATGGGCCCGGGCCGTTATCACTTAACACCAGGTGGGTCTAAAAAATACACTTTTTACGAATAAGTTATAAAAATGTCGATGTAATTTTACTTAAAAATATTTATTTATTTATATATAATTGATGTGAAAAAAAATATGTTGAGATTATTTCTCATGATTTTCTTCTGTATAAAATATAACTAACTGTAATGCATTTCAGAAACAGGCTCATAAACGCATCAGTCATCGAAAAAAGTGAAAAGTCGAACAAAATTCATAAAAATTGATAAAGGAGAGTTTAAGCAAAAGTAATATCGTCCCGTGGGGTGGTGGGACAGTGGGGACGACATCCGCGGCGCAAACACACTAATATGTAGTGAAATAAGGTTAATCTGAGACTCATAAGACTCGCCCGCCACTGAATAAACTAATAAATGTAACCGCTCCCGGCTTCAGGGCTGCGAAAGTATGATTTAACTAAAGATATATTTTTACTAAGCGTTGCTTGACTGAGACAAAGGAACATATTTAATATTAAAATATTTTTCTATACTTAAGGCAATGGTAGAATATTGATTTGTAGTTTTTGTTTGTAACGAATAAACTTTAATTTCAAAAAATATTATACAATATTAGAATGCTAAATTTTCCCTGAGTGATATTTATTTAAAATTGGGATTTAATTATGGCCTTATTTATAAAATAAGTTGGACAAAATAATTAATGTTTTTCTAAAACAGAAGATTAGTAATTGTTAAGGTTTTATATATTTTTTAATGTATCTGTTTGTTAAAAAATCTTTAGATACATTAAAAATATAAGTAAGAAATTAAAATAATATAAACTTTTGAATTTTAAAATTAAACTTATGAATATTATTTTCTCCATTATTGGAGAAAATAATGAAATATCGATATATAATGCAATATCTAGAAATCATAAGAAAAATTAAACTTGGCTTTAAAGGGCTATTACAAAAATCCTTACGTTTAGTTAGTTGATATAAATAACCATATAGAAAGTCAAACTTAATACATAGAAAACGTTAGGTGTTATTTAGATTTAAATACAATTGACAAGCTTTAAACAATAGACAACCCTAAAGTTAAGCGAGCCAAGCGAAAGTCGCACGCTCCGCGCTCCGCCAGATGAAATTATCCT